GACCGACTATTGGTGACCAGAGGACAGAACAATAATTTTACCTACAGCAGTGTAAAGAGGCTAGGAAGTCCCACATCACCCATATAAGCAATACTTGGACTAAGTCATCACACACCTGTATGAAGATGTCAATATGCCCTTGTAGTAGGTGATGTTAGTATTAGCCTTAAGAATTTTCAGGTTAAATTTATAGAAAATATTCAACTTCTTTTTTTTCTATGTATTCTTTTCTTTTGCACTTAAGGACACTCAGTCCTGTGTATCCTAAAGAATTTTCCCTGGATCTCACTTTTCCAAGAATTTATATCTCCTCTCCCTCACTTTGTTACTGCAGAATAAAGTTTCTCAAAGGAATTATCTTCCTTGGAGTTCATTTTTTCAACCTCTCAGTCTTTCGTCATCTCTAATTTACTATATCCTGGTTTCCCTTCTGGTCATGAAATCTAGGTGATTCTAGGAATCACTTAGATTCTAGGTCGTGGCAGTAGTGACCCCTGGGCAGGAGAGGACTGAAGAGCGCATCAAGGACAGAGGGCCATGTTCACAGGCACCCTCTGCTCGGTATGGCTGCACCACGTGGGACAAGAACACTAAAGTGGGAAACTTCCGGATCTGGGTTTGATGCTGTGTGTTCATTGCCTCTGAAACAGAAAATTAACTGGTCAAAAGGAATTGGACAGCTCACAAGCTTAGCAAGAAGCCAGGAAGAGCAAACCTATAGGATGAGCAGGAACCAGGAAGACTGAGTAGAGAGAAGCCAGGAACAGAAGCTCCAGAGTTGGGGCAGACTCTGTCAAGGCCGCTGTGGCTACCAGGCCATTGTACTCCAATCACCATAGCTTGTACCTGTGCCAGGACTGGGTATCAATGCCGTAATGGCGTAATTGGTCATGTTGCCCTTGGGAACAGATGTTGTTGCTTTTGCTTCTTGTGATGGAAAGAGTTCTCCCGGTCCCTCCTCCTTTGCATCACTCACGCCCGACTGAGAACTGAGCTTCTGACATTCTGAGCTGGGTCCTACATTAGAGCCTCAGCTGCCTGGGGAATGGAGAGAGCAGAGCTTTCTAGGGAAGGAGGCAGAGTCTGCTCCCCGCTGCTCTCCTGAGATGGGGAATTCCTCAGCGTACGGATTGGAGGTTTAGATTCCGGGCAAGAAACATCTCACATCTGGTACTAGGGTATCAGTAAGAGCCTCCCAGTGCTGAGAATCCATTTCCCTTTAACTCCAGCACGTATGAAAGCTATAGCATCATGGCTTTGTCACAGAAAAGTGTGTTCTGTCTTCCAAGTCCTTATTTCTAGATACTATAGAGGTTTACCCTGCATGTCCTTGCTTGACATGTGTAACGGTCATTGAAGCCAACCTTTTTTTTCCTGACTCAACAGCCCTAAAAATAGAGCATTATTGAACAACCCACTAATGTGGTCAGCACTCTCCCACTGTGGTCAGCCTGTGTGTTGATACATATTTTTAGTGGGCAGATACTGTATCTGTTGAGTGTCTATTTTTACTTTCCAAATGTCAATTCTCTCTCAAATGTCAGCTCCCATTCTCCAAGACAGGCGGGTGTGTTTGTTTGTTTTCCTGGCAGGATTTACTCCTCTGTGTAAAAGGCACATTAGTAATTAATGGCTCTCTTCAAACAGAAGTCACATTTAAAAATTCTTTACCATACTTTCTTCTTTTGTTTGCCTGAGTGCTAGAATCCATGAAAAAGGGATTCCGGAAGCACAGAGTTCAGGGTCTTGGAGTAATTTACACCACCTTCTTTAAATACAATTTTTATCAACTTCTGTTTCCTTTCTTTTTGGCTTTAAAGAAGCTAAGCTGCAGGAGTGCATGCTCTGCAAATTCATTCAGTGTGAAGAACTGATTCTGGCTTAATTTGCTACTACTACAGGGTAACACAAAGGTGTGAATATCAAGTAATGTGACTGAGGCTTTAAAACTCTAAATTTTCTGGAAAGTACTATGGTAACACACACACACATACACATACATACACACCACTTACATTAGTAATACTAACAACAGCTACCTCCATTAACTTAGGATCTATTATGACTCAATGTCTTTTACTTTCTTGTTAATCCTTATAACTGTCCTGTGGGGACAGTATCATCAGTCAAAGAATGACGTTTAGGAAGGGAGTAAGCAATGCATCTAAAGCCACCTAGCAGTAAATGGAGGAGAAAGGAGCAAATCCAAGTCTTTTTTCCAGGGTCCATGCTTTCCCTGTATACTTTTCCACTCCTGGACCTGGCCATCAGACTTTGGGGAATACTGAGGACCTGGCCAAGATCCCCAACTGCCTGTGTGAGGGATAAGGTGAAAGCATGAAATAAGAAACAGACAAATTTAGCAATGCTGGGAGGTTAATGCCTCAGGATGGGCAGAGACAAAGGCACTCCAAACCAGTCACTATTTATTGGGTGTATACAGTGATAGGAGGGGCTAGCAGAAGATTCAAATTTGGTGGAAGACTCAGAGGTCCACGACAAATGACTTAAGAGGGCAGAGATGATTTTATGCTAAGAAGGAGATTGTGCTGGAGTGGTTTTTAATCTTAGTGGTTTTAGCTTCTTCTCAGTACGGGGAGGATATGGCCCATTACTACAGAGTTAATGGGAAATCTCAAAAGGATGATATCGATAATCCCAAACTTCCATTAATCCCTTAAGGAAATACGAAAAATTAGCTATTGTGAATTTGTGGTCCCCAACAGGGAGAAATAGCCTAAGAAAATAATCCAAAAGTAGAAGAAGGCCAATTTTTAAAACAGAAAATCAAAGCTACGTGCAAATATATGACATTCTTTATCTAGCCCTGTGACCTCCAAGCTGGAAAGGAGAGGCAAGTCTTCCACGTTAATGTGACATGGAGAATGTCCAAAGACAAAAGCAGAGAATGTCTGAGAGTGTATTTGGTAAAAAGAATGGAACTCAAAATAGTACCAGGAAGTATGGCAACAGGTAAAACTGACGACTATGTATTAGTGAGGCTCGGAAGTATTTACAGTGTTTCAGGCAGCTGAGCTAGTTAGAAATATTATAGGCAGTCAGGCAGGGTTAGACTCTCGAAAAGCCAGCACAGAGGACCAGATGTCTGATGACCTTGGAGGAGATGAACACCTCTTGATGTGGGCCAGATCTCAGGACAGAAGGCAAAACAAACGCAACCACATCCTAAGTATAATCCTTAGGCATTAAATCTGGATCACCTTGAGAAATCAGGAGTCACCATTCCAGTCCCCTAAGGAAGTCACTGATCCATAAAGAATGCTCACCTACAATGTGACTCACTTCCCCCTTTGTCCCTGATTTGGTCAATTTTACCTAAACAATTAAACTTATTGGTTGACCATAGCCGTGTCCCACCTCATGCCCATCTACCTCCCAATTTCCTGGTTTCCCCAATTTTAGACCCACCTTACCTCATGATTTTACTCTATAAAAATCCTGGGAAAATACAGAATCTTTGGCAACCTGCTCGGGATTCCTTCTGTCTCTCTCAGACAGGAGCTTTCTTTCTCTCAATAAATATTTCTGCTCTTAACCTCCATTGTTCCTAAAATTCATTCTTTGATTTTAGAGAACACAAACTCGTTCCAGACATATAGTAGGTTGGGAGTTTTGTTGTAGCCTAGCTCTAACCAATGCGCCTCCGTCTTGTTCTGTATGCACCGCACAACCCCCTCCCCTCCCCATTCTCACAGTATTGTAAATTATCCTGTTGGGCTCTTTGCTCTTGATTTGCAAACATAAAGCTGCTTAAGAGCCCCCAGCAATAGCCATGCCACAGAAAGCATTTTCTCTTTTACATTTTTACTTTAAGACAAAACCATCCTTTTTTAAAACTTATCAGTCAATTACCTTTTTTTTCTTGCTTTTTTAGACATTAAAACCTTTAACAAAATCATTGAAGTGATCTTTTAGTAGTCTAAAACATGTTTAATCATTTCATGTCTTTTTACCACATTAAATGCTGTATTTTTATTTTATTTATTTATTTACTTTTTGTTTTTATCGGTACCGGGGATCGAACTCATAACTGCCTGCTTGCAAGGCAGGCACTTATGCCGCTGAGTTAAATCCCCAGCCCCAAAATGCTGTATTTTTTTTTTTTTAAAAACTGTAACCTTTTTAACTGGCTCAATTACAGTATAACCTGGTTTTTACTTGGTAAAGTTGATATGATTTTAAAAACCATAAATATACATATATATGTGCACATATGTTTACATTTTAACCAGAAAGAAAAATACTTTTTTAAAAGGCATGCCGAGGTTGCAAGTAATCAATTGAGGACTAAAACATTAAACAAGGCACCCCAACATTAAAGACACAAACAAAGGTTGTTTTGTGCACAGTTTGGTGAGCTAAAGGAAATAATTTTTTATTATGAACCTTGAGTCTAGTAAGCCATATGGATCCTGCAACAGAAATGGGCAACGAGCCCCTAAGTGACAAATTCAAACAGGCAGACAATTCTAAAGTACGAAAACACTGAACATAAATATCTAAATCACTTTGTCCATTTTGGACTTGTAGAAGGGGTTCCCAGGAGAGAATGTTCTGTTAGATTTGGGGTAATCAAAAGGAGAACAGTTAGACCAAATGGACACACAGGCAGACATACAATAAAGACAAGCTGGAGCAAAAATGGCCTTTGCTCAAAAATTGGTCAAATTTTGGGATCTGGAGGAATTAACAAATTAACCAATGGAGCGGATTCCCTCCCGGGGCACAGTCACAAATGGACGAGATTCATCCCAGAAAAACCAACTGACTCTGTCCCCAGGAGATTCCCGCTCCCCAAATTGAGGGCGTCCCCTCCCAATAGAGTGGTTTCCCATCTGAGGCAGAGTCACAAACGGACAAAATTCATCCAAAAAACCAATTGACTCTGTCCTCGGGAGGTCCCCACTCCCCAAATTGAGGGCGTCCCCTCCTGAAGTATGAATTGATCACGGTCCAAACAAACCCTCCAGAGTACTTACTTTTAGGTATTCAGAATTGAGTTGGGGGTCTTGCTTCCATCCTGAACAAGCCCCCAAATGTGATAGCTTGGACCCTGGAATAAAATCCAAGGAAGCAAGAAATTAAAATTTAGGGAGCAAAGGCTTTATTTTAGGCCAGGCCTGGTGATGCAGCCTCCAGGAGCCAATATGGAAGACTGTGCGCCTTACAGGTAAAGGGTTGGGTTTTTAAAGCTTAAAAATCACAGGAATGTTGCAAACTTTGACACAGTTTGATAGCACCTAGGCTTCTTGGTATTTCCTGTAACTTCCTTGTAGTTAAATATTTCTTAAGGAACAGCACATTTTATTACAGATAGGCAGAAGGGGTGGAGGGATTACAAGAAACTGAAACTTAAGGCTTTTACAGGAAATGGAAACTCAACCTAAAAAGAATGGGGAGGGGAGGCGGTTGTGCAGCACATACAGAACCAGATGGAGGCACATTGGTTAGAGCTAGGCTACAACAGTTTCTTTCCCCTATATCAATAGTTATGCAAATGATTAGTGTATGAAACTTCTGGGCTGCACATCTGTTGAGGGAGAGCACTGTATATATTGTGTTCAATTAGGAAAAAGGAAAAGAAAGAAACACTTATTAGGCCAAATTAAAAAAATATATAGGGGGCTGGAGATTCAGTTCAGTGGAAAAGCCCTTACTAACTTAGTGTGGCTCTGTGTTACTGCAAGGAAAGAATGAAAGAAAAGAAAGAAAAAAGCAAATTATACATTTTAAATTGTTCTAAGAGTAAAAGCAATCTCCTCAAAACATTGGAAGAAAAAAGTAAATTCCGTTCTTAGTATTCCATTTATTACATTGTTTCCTTATCTGCAAGTCAAGGACTTTTAGGGATGTATGTAAGATGTGGGCAGGCACCACGTCTTTGATATATTTCATCAAACATGGTGGACATTGCATATTTTTGCTTTCATCTGCAATGCTAGGGATGCTTTACATTTTACTGCTTATTTCACCAGCTTAACAATAGTTGATGGCATCAGAGCTTGGACTTTGTTATCAGATGACGGGAGTCTGAATCTCAGTGTTGCTGTGTGCTTGCTCTGCTGTGCTGAGCAAGCCAGTCTCCTCTGTTCCTCTGTTTGTGGAATGAGTCAGTAAAAGACTTCCCTTAGGAGTGGCTGCCTGGTTATGTCATAAGATTTCCACAAACACAAGCCAGTATCAAACCACAAACAATCTGAATGATAGCAGGTCAGCACTGATTTTGTTATCCCAAGCAAGTCAGAAGTGTCCACTGATGCTTGTACAAGGCTTTGGTTTATAAAATATGAGGAAACATGTTAACTGTGGTAAAATGTATGTTGGTCAATACAGTTTTTCAAAAATGTGGGTGAGGAGGAAAAGCCAGGGAGGAGTGACAAGGACTGTCAGTAAAGAGTGCACAAAACAGTTGAATTTTGGTAAGGGCAAGATGAATGTGAGCCTGAGCAAAGGTGGAGACAGAGGTCCCCATAGGCTTTGCAGGGTCAGAGCGAGGTCAGAGCTGCATTCTCCTCCTCCATCTGGGTGTTGAATTGCGACACTTAGACCCATACCAGGACTGCAGTGGTGCGATGTGTTCCAGAGGGTGGTTGTGCACCCTGGATGCTACCCGTGGGAAGTCTGGTTAACCTTGACCTGAGCGCAAAGCTGCAGCTTGGGATGTTACGCATGGTTTCTCTCTGGCTGTGGCTTCTTCCTTCTCATCGCTTTGTGCTGTCTGCCAGTCTGTTCAGTGGCTGAGTTCAGCCCTGCCACTGTATTCTGTAAGCAACCTGCAGGCACCGATTCATAAGTTTAGGTGGGCAGAGGTAGATCCCGAGGTTGAGGTCACATCATAGCCCCCGTGGCCTCCATCTGTTCCCCTTTCTGCACCTCCCATTTCTCATATCCCCCCTCACATGAGAGACCACTCAACCCAAACACTGGTAGATGTATTTTGCCGACAGGGATAGTCCACTCATCCTAAGGTAAAGTCTGATGAGAGCATTTCTTTCATTCATATTACAGTTATGAGGAAGGGCCAGAACAATATTTTTGTCTCTTTTTATGCAAGGAGTGCTTATTGAGAAAGTATATTTATAAAAATATATAAATACTTCTAGATAGACATGAGTTTATCAGTAGAGTTTTGACAAATGAGACCTCAGTAGAGGCAAGGATCTATGACTAATAAAGGCTGTGGAGGACCGCTGAAGAATCTTAGTAGATTAATTCCATTAGACTTCTGTCTTTTGGAAAGGTCACTGGGGTAGCACTAGAGAAAATGACAAGGGCAGGGGGTGTGTGGGGATTAGATTCCAGAAGACCACAGGTAGGAGACCAAAACTAGAGGGTCAGGCTTCTTGGGTACAGTGGAATGGAAGGAGGTCAAGGCAGGTGAAAAAGTATTGATAATAATAAATCAATAGCCACAACTGTCACCTCATAAAACAGCCAAGATTCTTGAGGACTTACTATGACTCAGACTGTTCTAAGGATGCTGCAGACTTTTAATCTTGTTTTATCCCCAGACCAACCTTACGAGAAGGGAATTACTATCTTCAGTCTACATCTAAGGAAACAGAGACACAGAGCTGATAAGGAACTTTCTCAAATTCCAGAGCCCAAAAGTTAGCTGAGGTGCTACAATAAATACCTCTGGTCAGAAATGTTCTTTGAAACATATTTTACACTACTACAGCATCAAAAACACCCCTAGAAAGAGGCAAATTTCTAAACTTGTAAATTTAGAAGCATCCTTTAAAAAGCAGCAAATGAACTCCTCTTGTCTCTGCCTGGTAGAGAAAGGATGCCACCCTTAAGTCTTCTGCTCCCCGCAGAAGCTGTGGCCATGCCAGCTTGTTCATTTATGTGTCTGTGATGTTAGGACAAGAATATGTGAGTAAAGACAGTGGGTGTTAGAGTCACTGGTGCTGAGCAGCTCTGTCACATCCAAGATGTGGAGGAGAGGAAAAGGGAGGATTTCAGACGTCTTCTAGGATGTGCAGTTTAGTGGCAGAGATTATAGTTTAGACACCTAGTGAGCAGTTAGACTTCAAATAGTGAGTGATCTTTGGCCAAATCCCCCCAAAACCTCCTCTTCTCCCTTAATTGGCCATGACAACTACAGAAAGGGAAACAAGTCTATCTCAAGGCACCAAACTGCCTGGTGCCCACATTCTGTGTGTCAATTAAGCAACTGTGTTACAAGGTCTTATAACATTCCAAATCAATGACAGTGCAGCAAAAAGGTGGTATCCATGGAAGTCCCCTGACCTTGTGAACTCACACACAAGGGTATATAACAGAAGGGAACAAAGGAATCGGTGCCAACCAGTCAGTAGTTGGGAGTTTCAATGGCAAAAACTGACTGCCCACTTCAATTTGAAATAAACCTTACGTGTTTCTCACGACTTAGCATCCTGTGGGTAAATTTCTTGTGCACACGGTAACCTTTTGGAGGCCCCAGCGAGATTTGCCTTTGTAGACAACTTCCTTTGAAGGAGGCCCCAGTGCGCCTCGCCCTGTGGCCAACGCTGGGTGACAGGCTGATTTCAGCCAGCTTGCTGGAACAGCTGAGGGAACGGCGCCTATGGCCAGGAGGCAGAAACAACTGAGTACCTACCCTTGACCAAGGTAAGTGCTTCTGATTTGGTCTCCTAGTTGGGCAAATAACACGTGGCTCACCAGGAATTTATTTGGTTGTTTCTTGGACTTGAAAAGAGCTTAGTACACCAGACGTGGTGATTGCCCATTTGTCAGGGAGCTTCCCTGAGTTTGTTCCAAATTTTGAGAAGTGAGGAAGTTCCTCCCCAGGCCGTTTGTCTTTTGTGTGTCTGTCTAGTACATGCATTTTAGCCCGCTGCCAGCGAAGATTGCTGCCACCAGTCTTTCAAGATTTGCTAGCGTTGGTTTTTCACTTTTATTTCTGGCTGGGCTAAGAAAACAAAGAGGGCAAGGGACTTGCTGAGACAGACTGTGGGATTTTCGGGCTTGTTAACAGTGGTCACGGTGGGGTCCACTGGCAGTAAGCCAACTGTATTTGGTTGCATGCTCAGCAATTTTGATAAATGTGGCAGAGATGGGGAGGTTAAGATGAGGAAAAGGAAACTCTGGATATTTTGTAAATTTTAATGGCCTGCCCTTGAGGTTGGATGGCTGGCAGAGGGAACACTTGACTTTTAGATAACCAACAGGCTGTGGAGTGTAGCTACCCAAAACCAGGGCATCCAGATTAGTTTCCATACATTGATTCTTGGATACACATGGTTCATTTGTCGCTTCCCTCGTTTAAACTCTGTATTTGGAGTCTTCCCAAATAGATGCTGGTAATTCAGGAGAAGCAGTCTAATATGAAGCCACTTATATTGCCTCTGTCCTCAGAGGAGGAGTCCTTGACTCCTTTCCTGCAGTCCCTGCCTCTGCTTTACCAGGCACCCCACCATCAACCCTCTGGAGCCGGCAGTGGAATGGGCAAATCCAGACTCCCAGAATTCTGCTCAGCAGGATCCAAATATGAGAGGGACCATGAGCACATGGAACTTGAGTTTTAGGCATTGAATTCCTGGATGGTCCCTGTATGAGGGGGACCATGCAGCACAAGCTGGATCTCAAGCTTGGATCTCAAGACACCGAGGTCCTAATATGGTAGGGGCTACAGGATGTATAGAGTCTGGATCTTGCTAACATCACCCTTGTCTGTTCCATCTGAGCTTTGCTCTAGGCAGGTCCTGATATGCTGGCAAGGGATGAAAGAGTACTGCCCGCTGTGGAGGAAATGTCATCCTCTTTCCCAGTTTCTGTTTTACTCTCTGGGAAATGGTGGTTCCAGGACCTGAAGGGACGATTCAGATCACTTTTTTTTAAACACTTCCATCAGCTCCAGTGACTTGTATACCTGTAAAACTCAAAATCCCCCAGTCTCTGAGCACCTATATGCTCTTATCAATTTGGTGGAATCAGTATTTAAGACTCGCCACCCCAACTGGATTGACTGTCAGCAATTGCTCTATTCCCTATTTACCTCAGATGAGAGAGAGGGAGAGGGAGAGGGGGAGGGGGAGGGGGAGGGGGAGGGGGAGGGGGAGGGAGAGGGAGAGAGAGAGGGAGAGGGAGAGGGAGAGGGAGGGAAGGAGAGAGAGTGTTGGAAGGAGGCAGAAGACTGTG